TCTTGAAATCTACGGTCGGCTGTTTAAAGCTTTCAAAACTGAAAAGTATCAGCCTAAAGAGGGAGGGGAAAAAAAGTATAAAAAAGAAGATTCTCGACCGACCGCCACGTGTTTCGGCGCCTAAAGGGCAATACAATATTTATTTGTTTAGGCCTTATGTTATTAGTAATATGATCGTATATTACCGTTTTTTGCCTTTTAAAGAGGGATTCATCTGTAGAAATCTGAAAGCATGCAGAAATATTTCCAAATCTATTTTTGCGCTTTGAATTAGTTCATCAAGTACTTTTAGTATAGCACAGTTACACAAGTATGTAGAGATAAAATATATCATCCCACTATAGTTTGATGCTCTTGAATCACTTATGTTACATTTTGGGCCCTTAAAATCAGATTTTGGTTACCTGAGACAGAGTTGGCTATCAAAGCCTCACATACCCACAATGTATCATTGTATTCTGATACCGAAAAGGAGATTAACTGTGATCCTATGAACCCCTCAAATAGTTTTAAAGCAGTCCTCTTAACTGTCTAGAGTTCTTCGAGTCCTTTTGGAGCAACTTCAGGGCTCATGTGGTCTTATGTGGGTCTTAACCTATATTTCCTTGACACGGAGTAGCAATTAATTTTTTCTGGGACTCATGATAAATGGTTTTACAGTTGATTCCGCTTCGTTGATTCCACTGCTCGCACGGTATTGACAGAACGAGATAGAATCGAATATTGTCACGAATAACGAGAATACATCATTCTTATTCGTTCATCATCTCTTCAATGATAACAAAATGACCGTAAACAACAATTCTCGGGAAAGTTTCAATTGTTGTAAAGAATGTTTTGGCTTGCACCTAATAGATACCACTGTTTTTTCTGACTTGTTTTCAGTTACAAGATCGAGAAAGGCGATCTTAATCTACTGGGAGCAATCCACTTGGCAACCACATGGCAAATACATTTTTTATTACCAGGTTTTTTTAATAAGTTTAAAGTAAACTGAATTTAAACCCCGGACCATGCTGTCTCTCTTGCAATATGGTTGTGGAAATACACGTGCCCATTTGCCACAGTAGGTCTTAAAAGTGTTTTAAATAAATGTTTTGAAGTAGGAAGCAGGGGTATTGTAACAAAGGAACAAACAAAAAACGGATCCAGACAATCTTTCATCATGTAAATACCAGAATATGTAAGAATATTATATTCATGATCAGAACATTGGCTCTTGTATGATCTTATTTCATATACAATACTAGGACATAGCCGCAGTGGACCAATGTTTGTTTTTTCTTTCAATTTTTTCAAATTCTTACTCATAAACTGAAGACTTTCATTTCACATTCATACAAAAATATCGAACACAATCAGATAATACATATGGAAGTCTAAAAAAAAGGTTTACCAGTACATTTCTTGTTAACTTTCAGTTTCTTTCGTAGTTCAGAAGCAAATTAAAAAAACTCAAACTGGATTATTTATTATCAACACCCTTATAATTTCGGAACAAAATCGATTCATAAACTGTCCAGAAAGCTATGGTAATAAATTCTTCTATTTCGTTATGTTTGCTTTTTTTGATCAAAAGATCAATGTTAATGACAACATACTTGTGAAAAACCTTTTTAATCAACCAGGAAACATCTCCCCAAAAGGTTTTATTTAATTTACACGTAACCAAGGCATGTATCATATCTTCATTTACTTGAAAAATATTGTATTTTGCATCTTTTCTTATTCTCCATTTACATAACAATTTTTCACAGGCAATAAGTTATACAACACTTTGAAATTAAATTTTCTCGAGTTGTTTTCGATGGTTATAAAAATATCTTGACGTTATAGCACTTTACAGTTTACCTACTTTTAAATTGGGAATAGTCAGCCGTGATACATGTTGCCTTTTATCATTGGATATTTGGGCAAGCCCAATTTTAGGTATGGCTTGACGTAATAATCAAATATTGCAGATCTTTTGCTTTTTCTAAATTTCAAAATCTTTTTTAAATCATCCCTTTACTGTCAAAATGTCAAAAAGAAAAATCACAATTAAATATCAAATTTAAACTTCCAAAACGATTTAACTTTTATATTAATATATTTGTGTTTTTTGTTCTGTATAAGCTAATTTGTGTAATGCTACTTTGTTATTTTGAGGGACCCATAATCTACAAGTATCCACTTTTTAATGGGTCCCTCCATTTCCATAGAAAATATCAATTTTTTTTTGTATTATGTTATTCAAATTTTGTTTATATGCAGTTTAAGTATTTGTAAATGATATTATTCACATGTTATCTTGTTCAATTTTTTGTTTTGTTTTAATGAAATATTGTTCTGATTTCTGTGGAAATGAAAAATAAACTTGAATTGAATTGAATTGAATTGAACCAGTAATTCCCAAGTTTTTCCCACATAGCATTCGTGCATTAACCAACCTCCCTAACCACCTTAGCCTAAAACAGAGTACTGGCACATCGACCATTTCAGCCCACAGTTTGCATAATTTTTAACAACGTCACATCTTCTCACCTTTTCTACTCTTGTGTTCCAAAGGAATTTAAAAAAACATTTTATTTAAATTCTTTACAATCGTGCCAGACTTTTTACAATCATCACTCTACCAAACAGTGTTAAGTTTCTCTGCATTTTTGCCAACTTATCCTTCTTATTTGCTTTACAAGCCACTTTTGTATTGATTGAAATTAAAAATAACGCAATATATTTTACCGGACCTTCTGTCCATGTCAAATCAATGTTTGGTAGTTTCCATCTTTTATCTCTCTTACCTTTCGATGAAAGTGCAGTTTTTTCTCTGTTTATTTTAGGACCCGCCACTTTTCCAAAGTCTTCTAATTCAATCAAAATTACTTCTAATGACCCGACATCGCCCACAATGAAAGTTGTATAATTAGCATACTGTATTACGTTTAGCTCAAAATGTCCACTGATTTCGTTAAAACATACACCTTTAATATGGTCATTTTTACGTAACTTGTTAGCAAAAATTTCAGCTGCGATGACAAACAAAAGTGCTGAGAGGAGACAGTCCCGATGCATTCCCCTCTGTACTTGAAACTGCTCTATTAACCGGCCATTTAAAATGACTGAGCTTACTATTTGTCTGTGAAGTACCGTGACCCAGTTTCGGAATTCCTCACCAAAATTTTTTGCAAACATTTTATTATGAAAGGTATATCAATGGAATCAAAAGCTTTGGTGAAATCAACCAAAATAATTGCTCCCTCAAGAGTCTTCTCATGCATATAAACAATCATATCGTTAGCAATTCTCACGTTAAACACCCCCATAAACGGCCTTTAATATATCCTAAGTGTATTTCCATGATAACATTTGCTAAAATCTTGTGTGTTCTTAAGGCCAGAACTGATGCAATTATTTTGTAGTCATAATTAAGCAGTTTGACCGGTCTCCAAGTTTTTAACTCATCGCTGTTCGCTTTTTTAAAAATCAATGTGATAAGCCATTTTCTTTGGGAAGCCGACATATGTCCTTTCCTAAAAGATTCATTAAAAGCATTGACTAGAAGTTCACATATTTCATCCCTGAAAATTTGTTAGAACTCGATAGGTAGGCCGTCCATTTCTGGTGCTTTGTTCCTTTTCGTGCAAAAACTGCCTTTTTGCATTCTAATATATTCATTAAACCCTCAAATTCCCCTTTTTCATCTTGATTGAGCTCTTTCACTTCTTGTGAGAACACATAATCGTTAACATGGTCTGAGTCAATACAATTACTTTTGTACAGACCTTTATAGTATCGTTGACCTCTCTAAAAAGTTGCTGTTGCTGAGTAACCACATTTTTTTCTCTTTAACTTTCAAATGGGTGACCATTTTGTTTTTATCAATTGTTTTTCAAGAGGTAAAAAATAATTTGTATTTTTCACCATCTTCTATCCATTTGACTCGTGACCTTATTCCAGCCCCCCCGTACATTCGTTTTTGTATAACCTCTCTAACTATTCTTTCAATATGACGCTTCTAGATCAATGACTTGCGTATATAAAGGCTATTCTTCCCCGTCATTTTCTCTCTCAAAGACTCTTTTTTGATTTCGTCTCTATCTCTTCTTCATTAAAGAGTGTCCTGCTTTTCAATATTATATTTTCATTTGGTAATCTCTCAAAACAGGACAAGAAGAAATTGGAAAGGCCTTTTTAGTTTTACTCCTAATTAATTACCCAATGTTTGCCGTTACTATTAAGTCTTAGACATTGTTCCTGGAAAAAAAGAAGTAACCTGGAATTACTTTTGTATTTTCCATTTGTTTTCCATGAATAAAAGTGGTGTACAATTTTTTTTAGCGTCTTGTCTCATGATAATGTTAATGGAAGAGAAATCTTTGCAACAATTGCTCCTGAATTGACAACCATGACGTGGAGTAGGAATGTAATCTTTCAGGAAAATTCGTTTCACGGTTGATTACTCTCCGTTGTTTCCACCGTTCCACCGCATCATGATTTAGCATAGAGATTTTGGATTGATAGAAGTGAATATTCTCACGATCAGCGACATTGTATTATTCTCCTTGTTTGTTCATCGTCTCTATCATCGTCTGCTATTTGAATAGTTTAATGACAATGAACGACACTTTGGTACAGAGGCGTATCCAGCCGGCGGAGGTGAGGGGCCCAATTCGTGAGAAAATATTTAGCGGCGACTCAGCCAACCGGCCAATAAGCGGAGGGGGGGGGTATGGAGCTATTAATATTTGTTTACTCAACACCCCCCCCCCCCCCTCTTAAGCGCCGAGAAGGGGGACCGTCTTCTTTAGTTTAAAGGTAAAATTAACGTTACCATCTTTTTCAAAAACTTATTTGGGGGCCAGGGGAGGGAGCCCGGGCTCCCGGGCTCCCCCTGGATCCGCCATTGCTTTGCTTCGAAGATATCTTCGTTACATTACATAAGCATTACAAAAAAAATCACACACACAAAAGCAAAACCAATATGCAATAGGAATAATCCAATCATTATTTATCAGTTTTTTATTATGTGTTTTTCTTTGTTCTTTTTCGGTAACTTTTCAAGTCCAAGATGTCATTCTTTTGGTCTCTCGCATTCCTGGCTGTTGTTCCTCTCGTCATGGCCTATCCAACGGGCGCCCCACTCGGTACTTGTGTGAACCTAACCCCGAAGCATTTTAATAGTACTAACCCAACGGTCCTCATCCCACCTCAAGCAGGGCCAAGTCCGTACGCCCTCAGCGTCAGCAAGAACATGTACTCTCCTTCTGAAGAGCTCACAGGTAAAGCGAATGAGAAATTTCTATACAATTTCGAATATTTAGAAAAATAGCACAATGTTCCTTTATTTAACTGTAAAATAGATTCATTTGCCATGGTGAGAGTGTTATAGCATCATCGATTAATTTTTATTTTTTAAATATCTTTTTGGTCAATTGAAATAAATGACAAATTAAATATTTAGTGCCAAAAGTTTGCATCTGGCCCCTGCAGCAATCAACTATGTCGACAATACATTAGTCGTAATAACGGTAGTTTAGATTTTTACCATGTGACTTCCCTATAAAAGAAGACTTGCAAGTTGGGAACATTCCAAATGTTTGAAGATGTTCATTTGATTGGTAGTTAATCCATAAATTGAATTTTCATTGTATCGCAATAAAAGAGGTTGTTTTACCTGTAAGACTTTCGACTACAGCAACGAGTAGGCGAAAGTCTCACAGGTAAAATAACCTTTTTGACTGTGATACAATAAAAAGTCAATTCATTCAAAATGTTAAATATAACGTGCTGAATGGTTGGACGATAAACAAAAATTATATAAGTATATAGACATTGCTCAACTTCCGCAGTTCTGGCACTGTAGGCTACTCAAATGCTTATGCAAATTCTTCCAAAATCGTATCGTATAGCGTGTGGTATCCTTAAAGAGATGTCGTGGAGAGGTCGTGGTAGAGTGGTTCATTCACTTGACTCTCAATCCAAGGATTGGAGGTTCAAGGCCCAAACTGGTCTCACGTCTTCTGGAAAGACTTTGATCTATATCTAACATTCTCCATGCAGGTGTTAATGGGTACCTGCCAATTGCTGAGTGTAAACATCATTGCAGTGTCATCTATAACAATTCAGCTTTGATGCTCATGGGCTTCCCTTGGGAAATAAAAAGGGTTATCATTGTTATTATTATCATTATGACATACGTTTATGTATAGGCCTACATCTGTTCATTTTGGCTATACAGTGCGTCCCAGAAAAATCGAAACCGAGAATTTACGATTTTTTTTATCATAACTTAATCACATTTATAATTAATAAATGACACATATTTGGAAAGCTTAACTCCGTCTTTCGTTAACGGTTGATTGTCAAAGAAATGGAGTTAAGTCTTTTGTCAACTCTGTTTGTTGCTACGACAGGCACCCAGTGAAAACGAATTCGTTTCATAGAATTATGGAAATGCAAGCACTACTTTAAACAAACAGAACTTTGTCTTTCCTTGCTCATTTTTCCTGATTTAGGTGTCATATGAAAGGACAAAACCTTAACTTTCTAGAAATGTGATTTTCTCTTTGAAATTCAGATACCGTCCGCCGAATGACTTTTTGATTTCCTCTCTTCAAATTCATTTTAATCACTCATTCACTCGTGAAATATACATCCTATGAGTTGCATCAAATGAAAGAGGAGGATCTAAGTTTTCCAAAAATGTGCCATTTATCAATTATAAATGTGATTAGGTTATGATAAAACATCGATAATTCTCGGTTTCGTTTTTTCTGGGACGCACTATACATGTATAATAATATCGGGCTCTGCTTTCCTTCAGTGACCGTCACGTCCGACACTGGCGATTACTTCGAAGGGTTTCTCCTGCAGGCTCGGTTGGCGGACGACACCCTGGTCGGTACGTTCAGCGACCCACCGACAAACAACACCAAACTTCTACAATGCACCGACCTCGGAGACAGCGTTACCCATACAAGCTCCGCCCGTAAAGATGCGGGAACATCCTTCACCTGGACCGCTCCTAGTAGTGATGTCGGGAACGTTACTTTTACGTGAGTTCATTTATTTATTCATTCATATCTTTATTTATTTATTTAACCTTTTATCTGTTTGTTCATTCATTCTTTTATTTCTTTCTTTCTTTATTTCTGTTGTTTTCAGGACAAAGAGACAATACACCACTTTTTGTACGTTTGTACTAGATTTATGATACAGTTTGTCCTCTTGCGGAATTAAATGACACTAATATTATAGAGGCGGAAAGAAAAGTCTGGACACTCAAATCGTACTCATGATTTATTAATCTATTTATTATTTATCTATTTACTTTTGTATTCATTCATTCATTTTTTTTCTTCTTTGTATTGATTGATTGATTAATTGATTGATTTATTTATCCATTTATTTACTCATTCATTTAGCTTTATATTTATTCTGGTGTTTATTTTTACAATATCGTTTTTGTTATATTTGTTTATGACGCATTCTGATCGGGAATCATGAAAGGAAAGTTGTGGGGGAGGAGAGGGGGGGGGGGGGGGAACAGACTGGGCTTTTTAGTGTTGTTTCCAGTAGCGATGGGGATGAAGAAGTATTTTCATAATGGGCAGGTATTTGTGAAAAGCATCTGTAAAAATTAATCATCAAGTTTATTCGAGTGGCGAAAGTATTAAGTCAAAATATTTAACAAGCAAAACAAGTTAATTTTTGAAGATCATGTACAATTTGATCTTGGTATTTTTCTTTTTCTCTAGGCCTCCAATCAAGGGGAGTGGATACAGCCGCTCCACTTATTTTTTTATATAGATTTGGTCGAAATCACTTTGTGATGTATAGGATAGGCGAACTCACGTTCATCTATATAACCCCAAAACAAAAATAAGATCAAAGAAATCGAGTTAACTCAGACAGATGGAAAGACAAATATAGGGACATAACTAACCTATTCGTAAATAACGACAATGAATTGTCATCTTGTTGGGTACGGATTGAAATTTAAATATTTTTCGATTTTAGTAGATTTTAAATAAATGTGGACCTGATTTTTGCATGTTATGTCTTTCCCTCAGGGCGACCTTTGTTCTACAGTACGACGAGTTTTGGGTGAAAGTTACTTCTCAAGAGATAATGGCCTCTACGGGTAAGCACTAGCTTATATTGTCCAAATTTTCTTTAGACCTAAGTTTTGCCATTCTTAAGATTAATTTTATTGATTTTGTCTCATCTTTATTGATCCATGGTTATACATAGACATTCTTTTTCCATTGGCTTTGTTACAAGGTAGAATAAATGGGAGTTTAGTTTAAACTAAATTACTTTAGTCCTGTTCTTTTAGTCTTGGCAGTGCAACACTCATGAATTGGTAGCTTGCTTGCAGTTGATTACGATGTGCAAGTTATGTTTTGTTCCCACTTCTCACTACACCCGCGCTTCAGTACAACACAGATCAAATAACGCATCCACTCAGCCTCTTCATTAAAAGATTTTTCAAATTCAACAGTCTTAATGCATAGTTGAGTTCTTGTTTAAGACCGCGAATGCCTGCAAAGTGCATGGTTATTGCTCTTATTCTTATTTATGTCATTTCTAGTGCCCTTTTTAGGACCTAAATTTGCTATGAAGGTAAGTTGAGACCCCAAAATGTATGAAATTTATATTAACGGGACTTGGTTGTTCAGATTTTGCAAAATGTGTGTATGCGGCCCGTTACCCGGGGTAACGGGCATCTTTAAAAAAAAACTATTGACCGGTAGGAGGGCATGCATGGCTTACCAATCAGATGACTAGATTTATTCAACATACTAAAGAGAGGTAGGCCTATATAATTTACTTCATGAAAGAGTAGAGATACAAATATTTGTTGCAAAATTTTAGAGGAAAAGCTGATTCATCTAGACTTTGATGTTCACTGTATGAAGGCGGCAAGAAGCTGTCGAGGGTGGGACTTCGTTATGAGTTTATGGCAAACGGGCAATTTATTAAAAATCATTCTTTTTCAGCAAAAAAGAAGAAGATTTGAATTGAACACAATTCAACCAAAGGCTGATTCATTTATCTCATTGTCTGTCTTCATTTCTCTCCTTGTTTGTCTACCTTGTAGGAGCACCATGGGTTACCGTCAATTCAGCATTGATCATCAGTCTACTCGGTGTGGTCTTTGTCGCTACCAAGCAGTAATTCCGGTCTAATGTTTCGCCCGTAGAAACTTCATGTACTTGGCATCCAGTTGCGTAGCGTGGGTGCTACTAGATCGTAGCGATCGATTAATAAACTTCGGATTATCAAGGTTTTATTACTGATCGTAATGGTAATGGTAATGGTAATGGTAATGGTAATGGTAATTGTAATGGTAATGGTAATGGTAATAGTCTTATTGAAAATTCATTTGCAGCCAGATGGCTGAATTGCAGAATTGTGTACATTGCGTAAAAACATAAATAATTATACAATCATAATTAAGATGAGGATGGAGGGGGTCGATTCATGTTTTTTTAACGTCCCCCTCTCTTTTTGTATGTCTGCATCTCTCCCTTTCCCATTTATTTCCTTTTATTTGTCATTCGATTGCTTGTGTTTGTGTGTCGGTGGGAGTGCACGTGATTTTGTAGTCACGTCATGTCTGCCTATATATTATAAAGACGTCGAATCGCGCTCTATTCTTAAAATAGTGAACGGTTAGTTCTACGAATAATTAAATTCACCGTTGCTTCATTAATATATATGTTTAAATAATCCTTATACTATTGGGATAAAAATTGATTTTGTGTGTGTAATGTTTTGCATTTCAGGAGATAAATCTTAACAAAACAAATAGTTAATTACAATATGAAAAATTCGTAATCGCTACGAAAGAATTTTGTTCTCTAAGCAGTTCCATGTACTTGTTTTGCTAAAACAGAATTACGTTCTTATAATTATGTTGATGACTCCTAATTAAATTGCCTGGGCCATATCACTTTCCTAGAGTTTGTTTCTTTAATTTATTGTGTGATTGTGCAAAGCTAAATGCCTGCGAAATCTTTAATCATACATTTGCAAGTTTAAAAGTTGGAGAGGGACGCATTCACACCTTCTAAAATAGCCGATTCATCACTTATTTTCTTCATAACCTGATATCTACAATATTAAGGCAAAAATTGACCCAAACTGTTATTACTATGATCATGGGGTGATATGTCACATTTTCGGCGACTATACATTCGTATTTATAAATATTTCATAATTTTATTTAATTTATTGTTCAGTTCTGAATACAAAAAAAAAAAAAAAATAGTATACATTAGGAAATACATAGATGAAGAAATATTAACTCATTTTAAACAGAACTGGCCTGGGCTCCAAGATGAGAAAGGCTTGATGCCTTCTGAGCCCTTGTAATTAAGTACATGTAGGGTGTACCTGGTGATGCAAAGAGAGAGAGAGAGAGAGAGAGAGAGAGAAAAGAGAGAGAGAGAGATATAGATAGATAAGAGAGAAAGAGAGAGAGAGAGAGAGAGAGAGAGAGAGGGTTTAAGTGAGAAGGAGTTACAGTTGATTGCACATATCATTGTTAATAAAACAGACATAAATATTCATGATTAAACAGTATATTGAGAGAACAGCTTTCTTTTCACTGCTTCTTAGAATGCAAACTCTGTGTGAATATTCATTTGATCCAAAGGCGGGAATTCCATATGTCCGGGCCGCTAAATATGTATTCCTTCGAATAATTTATACCTGCGCATGCGCACATGGTCATTTTCCTCGGCCTCATAAATATTCTTTAGCAATGACGTAACCGTCAGGGTTTATTTATTTAATTTTATTTAAAAAACAGGGTAGCCCATTCAACAATAAGTTGGTCTCCCATGGAGCCCTGTGATAACGTACAAATCAAAGCATAATTGAACGATCAACATAAACATAAACATAAACATAAACATAAACATAATATAGAATCATAAATGAAAAGAAAATGGCAAGTAAACAAACGAACAACAGATGGAAATTCTCTAAAATAACAGAAATAACAAACATGTAAAAAATTAGACTAATATGAAAACATTGGCAAATATTGCATGTGGCCGTATGGCGGATGCAAGAAAAATATTAGACATATGAACATTTGAACAATGATCAAAGTAACGTCGGGAATGAATTTAGAATAATCATAAAAATTACTGGCAAGAGCTATGAATTATTAAAGCAGTGCTTCTTTAAGTGAAATTTAAAGGAATTAAGGGTATCTTTTGTTCTTACTTCAATCGGCACATTATTCCATAGGAAAGGGCCGTCGTAGCATAACGAATGTTTACGATACTCGGCATGGCATTTAGGGATTGCGAGATCACGTCTAATAGATTGCCTCGTATTCATTGTGTGGACTTCACTAAGTTCTTTGAAGAAATTGTCAGAATAACCAGCAGATAGGCTGTGAGTACATTTATAAATAAAAACGCATCTAAAATATTTAACACGCTCATTGAAGGGTATCCATTTCAACCGACAGAACATATCTCTAGAGGGTGTATACATGTTACAATTTAGAATAATTCTTGCCGCCCTCTTTTGTAGCTTTATGATACGGTTGGTCTGTGTTTTTAATCTATTGCCCCATATTTCGTAGCAATAGTCCATTTGAGATTGGATCAAACAATTATATAATAATTTGAGTGTCTCGTTATCTACAAACGGACGAATTCGTCTCAACATTGCCAAACCGGAAAACACCTTTTTGCATACAAAGTTAACATGATCATTCCACAATAAGTATTGGTCGATAATTACTCCAAGACATTTTATACTTATACATTGCTCAATATTTACTCCATCGTAGGCTATAGAGATGTCTTTATCACAAAGAGAGTTGATTTTCTGCTTACTTCCAATGATGATGAATTTAGTTTTGTCGGTATTCAAGCCTAATTTATTTTTAACAATCCATTGTTGGATACTATTCAAGTCATTTTGTAATTTAATTTGTATTTCGTTAAGAGAGGAACCTGAACAATATATTGTCGTGTCATCAGCATACATGATAACACGCCCTTCTTTCAACACTTTCACCATGTCATTAATGAATATAAGAAATAATAGGGGGCCTAATATTAACCCTTGAGGCACACCTTGGTTAATAGAAAGTGGATTCGAATGTGATTGCCTAATTACAACATGTTGTTTCCTATTTGTTAAGTATGATTTGAACCAAGACAGTGCATTATTAGACTTACCTAGATCATGTAGTTTATCTAACATTATTGACGTATCTACTGTATCAAAGTCAAACGCACGTCTCAGGTCTATAAAGAGAGCGCCGACTATTAATCGAGCGTCGATGGCATGTAGCCATGACTCAGTCAATGCACCAAGTGCTGAGGCTGTCGAGTGACCGGGTCTGAACCCAAACTGTACTTCTGTTAATACATCATTAAGAATTAAAAAGTCATAAAGCTGCTTGTGAACCATTCTTTCTATAAGTTTACTGACAGCTGGCAGTATAGATATCGGACGGTAATTAGTCATGGAATTTACATCTCCTTTCTTAAACAAGGGGAACACCTTAGCATGTTTCCATTCATCAGGGAAGGTGCCAGTACTGAATGACAAATTTATCAATTCAGTTATAAATATAATGATTTCTTTTCCGGCACTCTTAAGTAGTTTTACACTTATTTCATCTACTCCACTTGATTTTGAGATATCTAAATTCAAAATTGATTTCCGAACACATTCACAGTCAATCAGGTCAAATTCAAAAAGCTTAGAGGCAGAAGCAGAAGTATTAAGATAATTACTCGAATTCAGTAAAAGGTTATAGCTATCAAAATTAACGTTAGATTCCCTTGGTAGTGGGTTATTTACACTTAAATTGATAAGATAATCATTAAATGCACTGGATATGCCTACATCATCCTGGTATGTTTGACCATTAAATGTAAAGCATGTGAGAGTGCTACACGTAGCTTAGGGATCAATGAGCGTAGACATTTCCACATACATTTGTAATCATTTGAGTTAGACCTTATTTGTGATTTAAAATATTCACGTTTACTGTTCCTTAAAGAAATATTGACTTCGTTTCTCAAAGATTTATAAGAAGACCAGAGTTGGTCAAATTCTGATTCTTTGGCAGTATTCAGTTTTTCATGTTTCACTGACAAACATTTCTTATATGCTTTATCCCTCGTAGACATTAATTTACGAAGATTAGAATCGATCCAAGAAGCAGAATAATTTCTCACTCGAAGTTTTTTCATAGGAGCAAGACGATGAGCTATCGATATGAATATATTTTTCCATTTTTACCAATAATCATCAACATTAGTTACTTCATTCAAAACATGCCATGGGGCTTGAGATAATAGAGATTGAAACTCTTCTGAATCAAAATATTTAAAAGATCTATAATTAATTACTTTTTGTTTACTAAGCCCTTGTGATTTTAAATGCAGTTTTCGAATCACGTAAACCATATCATGATCGCTTATTGAAGTTTGTATACACCAATGTTCAATAATAGTTTCAATATTGGAGGTGAAAATAGTATCAATAAGTGTTTCGCTTCTATCAGTTACCCGTGTTGGTGTATCAATGATTTGTGAAAAATTATACGACCTCATAGGAAAATCAAGTTTACTAAAATTACTTGAATGACGATCAGAATTCCAATAATCACAGTTAATATCACCCATGACAAATATTTCACTTATTGACGAACGAGAGCAGCTTACAGATTCTAGTATTCTAGAAATGGCAGTTGAACTTGCAGACAAATCATTTCAAGGGAGGAATCCTCGAATTCGTTTCTCCTGAAATAAGTCAATGATTCTGCAATATAAAGAGCAACGCCTCCGCCTGAACGGTTTCTATCTCTACGTTCAATACGTAGGCCTTCTATGAGAAGTTCGTTATCACCGATTGTATCGTCACAAAAAGTTTCGTCAAACATAGCAGGTCAATTTTGTTATCCGACAATATGTAACGAAGAGAGTCAACTTTGTTCACAAGTCCGCGAATGTTTAACAGAAGGAATTTCGTTCCTTTAGACAATGGAGGGGCTTTACCATCCGTAAGTAGTATATTTTTGCTACAAGATTTATGCTTACAAAGACTACAATTCATATTAACTCAATTTGATAACTCATTGCTATCATCGAAATCTTCAGAGTTAGTCAAAGTTAATCGTTGTTGATGAACATCATTGATGTCTACTACGAACTCGGGTTCAGTAGCCTCCTTGCTGTATTCAGGGAGTCCATCCAGTCGCGGGGGAAGATCCGATCCTTTGCTTTCCGCTGATGGTTGGTGCGGCGATAATCTGGGAAATGATGATCAACTAGTTGTGATGAGTTCTGACGTAGATGGCGTATGATGTTTTTCGCGAGTTCGATAACTCCACTTCCGTTGAGGTGAACCACTGATCTCTACGGAAAAGAGATCAGTGAGGTGAAAACCATCGGCCTGTAGGTGGATATCGGGATAGATGGCGCTGTTATCAATCAACTTCCAACCTCTCTCATTGGTCAGAAGTTTCAGCTGTACGTTAACCGCATCGACCTTCTTCCGCTGGCTTTGTGTCTCTGGGTGACGATGTATGATGCTTGATAGAGTGATCGCACTAACTTTGGTCTTCGTCACAATTTCTTCACAAAGTGACGAGATCTTAGTGACGATTTGGACCTCATCATCTGAATGTAGGTTGTTTGATCCAAGATGTAGTATTACTTCCTTAGGTGCGTTATCCTTGGAAAGATTATAGACGCTCTCCGATACGTCCTGTATTTTCGCTCCAGGGAAAGATTTGCATTTCACATTGATCCATCGAGACATTTTAGATGGTTGGATGTTCTTAATCATTGAATCTTCAATGAACAAAACATCCACTTTGTTGGGGGAAGCCTCAATGATTTGTACTAAATCGGGCGGATTTGAGTTGGCCATCATTATTTTCTGTA